TTTAGCTAAAGATAGTTACTTAAAAAAAAGAAAATAATTATAATAATAACTTAATAATAAGGCTAACTAGCCTTTTATTATATAACTTTAAGACCCCCTTAAATCTATTATAAAAACCCTTTAAATAGAAATCTTACCTCTTTAAGCTTTAGTTAATATAATACTATTATGCCTATTTAGTTATTATTAATCTACTATAATACAGGCCTAATAGCTATATTAAGGTTATTGCTAGTTATATAGTAGGCCTAATTATATAGCTATAGGCTATTTTATATAGTAGGTATTATATTAGTGGCTATAATTAATATTAGCAGCTATAATTAATAGAGTAAAAGTTAGGTTAGGGAATATACTTTATAATAAACTTAGCCTAATATTACTTTAGTCTTTTAGGTATAATAAAGGAAGAAGGCTAATATAGCTACTAAGAGGTAATAGACCTATAGGCAGTATTAATACTGCTTAATTAAGGCAGTAATTTATACTGTTAAGGCAGATAAACCTTATATAATTTTAACCTTTAAGATATAGGCTTACTATAAGGGCCTTATTATTTAAGCCTTTAAATAAAAAGTTAAAAGCTTAATAGCCTTATTAGGCTAATAGTAAGGAAAAAAAGAATTAAAAAAAAATTAATAATAACTATAATTAATATTAAATATAACTAATTATATTAATTAGGGTATAATTAAAAATAGCTATTTTAATTAGGCTAGACTGGTTCCTTAATAAGAAGTTCTTTTTATTAGCTATAGCTATTATATAAAGCTTATAGCATTTATAGCCTATAGCTTTTACTAGCACTAATTTAATTATATTAATAAGGTTATAATTAATTATATAATAGGCCTAATTAGCCTATAGGCTATTATATATAGGCATTATAATAATAGCTATAATCGATATTAATAACTGTAATTAATAGGTTAGGGAATATACTTATAAGTTTATATTTAATCTTTTAGTTAGGTAAGGTTTAACTAACCTTTAAGTAAAAGTATAATAGACTTAGCCTGTCTTTTAGGTAGGGTATAAAAAGAAGGCTAATATAGCTACTAAAGGGTAAACCTATAGGCAGTATTAATACTGCTTAATTAAGGCAGTAATTATACCATTAAGGTAGATAAACCTTATATAATTTTAACCTTTTAAGATATAGGCCTATTATAGAGGCCTTATTATTTAAGCCTTTATATATAAAGTTAAAAGCTTAATAGCCTTATAAGGCTAATAATAGGAAAAAAAAACTTAATTATTAATAATTATAATT